CCCTTATTACTTCACCAAACCATCTTTTCAAACTCTTCTTTACTTTTTCTTTCAACCACTAAGTCTTCCATTAGAAAATCTTTCCTTTTTTTTTAACTGATAAAGAAAAATTTCTAACTTAGTGCTTCTCATGTTCGACTCAACGAAAAACATTATTTTTACTTTCAAGACTTCCTCAACTTCTTTCATAATGCATGCTGTTGTTAATTAGAACGAATTTTTATTAATAAATTAAACTTTTCTCAGACTTCATTCCAGACGAAGTATCTTTTTTATTTATTTATTATATAACAGTTCTATTTATCAATTTTAGTTAATCAACCGTACTTGATAAACTATTTTCTTCTGCCAGGATTTCTTTCAGAGTTTCTAAAATATCATAAATCAAACATCATTTTCTCTAGCATCTTCCATCTAATGATAAATTGTCTTGGTTTCATCACTTACTATTAATAATAAACCATATATTATATCACAAATATATCAATTTTATAACGTATCAAGATTCAAATAGTTACATCATATTGTATATTGTTGACATTATAAACTTTGGCACACCTTAAAAATCTTTTTTATTGGTATTTGTTGAAATTTTTTTAATAATAATTAAATTTAATTTTCTCGTCATTTAAAATTCTACATCAAAAATAAATAAAGCTATTTTGTAAATAATTAAATAACTAAATGAATACAAATACTGGACAGTTTATGATAAACGATAGTAATAAGAGAAATCGCATCAAATTGCAGAAATGTCGAAGTTTATAACATTAACCGGATAATGTTATAGAATGAATATTGGTGACAGAATCAACTCGAGTGTAACCAGTTACGAATCGCTTGAATAAAATCGAGTCTTTTGCTTTGAATTTTGAATAATATTTGAATTTAAAATCTGTACACGTCACGGACTCTCAATCTGGTCGATAGCGACCCCCTCAAGGGGTCAATTAATTTATTGGAAGGGGTCAATACACTACAAAGAGTCGTTTGTTTGGGGGGGTTAAATTAATAATATCTTTAATTTTAATTAAATAAAAAAATGTCTGACCAACGGTTGGTCATGTGGAACTTTCCGGATTTTCTTCACGTGTCTAACACCAAAATATGGAGCAGTTTCCTATAGTCCCTTGTCAGATCGCCTGTTTTCCGTTACCGTATCCCATCAAACCAAACTAATTTATTTTTATTTTGTAATTTTGGAAATAGTCCACAAGCAAAAATGATTGGGATTAATGTGTCATTAAAATTTTTTTGCCTCTGAAATTTTGTCAGAAAATATCCAGAAATTTTGCATTAAAAATTATAGTTAATAAATTGTTCTGCCGGATGTTCTTTTTAATTGTAAATCAGTATTCAGAACTGCTAATCATTGTGTCTCATTACTGTTTCCTATTAGTTACGCGTCTTCGGTTTTCTGTAGAAATAATCAAATAAAGTCTCTTAGTAGAGTTGCTCTCCATTTACCGACGAAGCAAAAATAATGCAATTGTATCGTTTTAATTAAATAGAAGTTTTTTTTTATCAATAATATGCAAATAAAATCATTTAATTATAAATTGTCTTAATACTGTTTTTTT